CAGGAATGTCTACAAAGGCAAGAAAATATGAAAATCGCTGGGAGCGAGATCAAGACCGTATGAGGATGATAAAATAGCTCTCAGTCAAACTGCTGCAGAACGGTTGCTTTTTGCTGCGCCGTATGTAGACGAGCATTGTCATGTGGCAGCACAGTAAGCATGCCAGTAAGAACATGCCATCACCTGCAGTAAGCAAACAAGTTAGAGCATGCCATTACCTGCAGTAAGCATGCAAGTAAGAGCATGCCATCACCTGCAGTAGGCAAACAAGTAAGAGCATGCCATCGCCTGCAGTAAGCAGGCCAGTAAGAGCTGACGATTTCCGATCGGCGAGAAGTGTTGTGCATTATGGAACTTTATCACGGACCGAATCCCGGCGAGAGAACGAATAAGCGCCGCCGTTTCGGGTCACTGCTGTCGCGCTAATGGCTCCCGCAGGGACCTGTCGGAAAGGCACATGATTTGTGCGTCAAAGATCTGTTACGCATGCGCAATTGCCTCGTCTAAATGCGTGTACTTTCAAAGAAAAAAACTTGGGAAACTTACTTTCTGGAAGCGCAATGTATTTTATGTTATATCAGGGGCCTAGAACACTTTTGTCAAAATTTATTTTGAAGGCTCATTTTGAGGCGGTAATGTCGTTCAGTAGCTTGGCAGTCTCGACAGGAGGTTGTCGTAATAGACGAAAACCTGGGAGGTGTATAGCGGGTTGACGGCTGCTGTTGCTGTCGAGGTACTGACGCGACGTAAAACCGCCAACCTACATAACCTCATTCAGGGATGTCCATTCCTGAGACTGCCTCCTTAATAGCTTAAGGAGTCAGTATACACTTTCCAACTCTTCAGAGGGATTCGGCGAGCGATTCAGATTTCCGATGTACGGTTCCCCATCGCTCCAGAAGATCATTGTCGGGCAGGGAAGGGTCGGGTCAGGTCGGGTCGGGCAGTGAACCCGACTGTCACTTGATCCCCAGGACCACGTTTGCTACCGACTGGTGTGTGTGTGTGTGTGTGTGTGTGTGTGTGTGTATCACCTTCCACTATTGGTTGTTGCTCCTTTTTTGGGATTGCTAAAATGCCCCTTAGTGCTTTACGGAGATACATTGGCTTTTGCCACTGTGTACTCAACCCACATCTTTTAAGTACATCTGTATGCATGTATTTTGTATTTTGGATCGATTGTTCGACTTTGTCGGCCAGATAATGGTGTTCCCCATCCCTGGGCCTAGTTTAATTCCCACGCTTGGGGGATTGCATGTGGTGAACATGACTGACACCCTTGACCGGAGCCAGCAAACTCTGCCTGCCTGAGTTTTACTTCGTCACACATCTGCAGAAACTGAGACGATTTAAAGAAAAGCTACAAATCTATTTGTGCCTCGACCGGGACTCGAACGCGGGGCCACACCATGGGAAGCTAAGAGCATTTGTAAGTTCCCGAAATCGCATTTTCTTACATATTAAACATGTGCAGCGCCGAACGTCCAAAGAAGAACTAACTAGTGGGGGTACGGAATGGCACAGACTTTTCCGAATTAGTTTTCTATTTCCTTTGGTCTCAGCTAGCTATACTAACTTGCCACATCTTGCCAGCTGCAATCTATCACCTCCCAAAGTACTTATATTGTTTTGAAATTTTCTTCATTTTGCGGTTTACTATAATAGAACGGAAATATTATTTCAAAAATATTAAAGAACAGTAAATCGTGACCTAAATGGCAATTTTCTTTAAAAAATTTGAAGCCGCTTTTAAGAAAATGGCGCTTAAAGCTACAATAAATTCGAATTTTGAAGCACTTCTTCACTAGAAAGTTTTGAGTTAGAAAAACTTCATTTAACTCACAAATACATAAAAATATATATTTTAACTCACAAATACAAGAGTGTTTACAAATTGCTGTGAATGTGCATATAACTGGAGTAAGAAGTATTTAAAAAAATTACATTTGCGTAATTTTTTATAAAACAAAAATACACCATAAAGAAATTTAATAATTGCATTTAGTACTATCTTTTCGAAAAGTTTAAAGAAAAAATATTAGAGTTGTTTTAGAGGAAATGGCGTTAGAACGTTTCTGATATTGCGAATTTTTAGGTAGTTTTGACAGAAAACAGAAAATAAATATAATGTGAACAAATTGCTGCCAATGTAAATATTAACGAAGGAAGACACAAGTAAAAAAAATAAAGTTTTGTAATTTTACATTTACATTTTTGTAATTTTTGGAAAAGCAAAAGAATAAAACAACATAGCGTTTGTGTCATCTTATAGAGCGAAGTTAGCACAATCCCTATCAAAAGTTTAAAGAAAAAATTTGGAACGATTTTAAAAAAAAAACTTCTTTTTTTGGTATTTTTTTTTAAATTGCGGGAAAACAGGTTACATTAAAAAATGTACATGACGTTAATGAAAGAACAAATTATGGACAACAAATGTCATTTGAAAGAAAATATTTATCTTAAATTTTTTGGTTGTAGGAAGACCCGGAATAAAAGTCAAACTTTTGAAATTTTCGAAAATTCAGAGTTAACCATAACAATCGGACCTATGCCACCTTTGTAAGGACATTTTACTCTATTCTTACAAGGAATTTAAAGAAAAAAATGGAGCCATTTTTGAGAAAATTTTGAAAATATCCAAAGGGGCTTCATATAAAGTACACCCAAAACTAATGGATGATTTTCAAAATTGCAGAGCTTCGACTCAGGCCAAATGGTCAGGGGTTTCTTCAATTTGGAAAAAAATCCTACGAATGATTTAGACGCAAGTGTTGTTCACATACCCTGAACAGACGGACGGGTATTTTGGAAAAAAACACACTTTTTTTCGGCATCAGGAACTCCAAAACTTGTATTTCCGTTTAAATCTTGAAATCGATTTTCCGCAGCATTACATAACTTTTCCCATACTACGTATATTACTCCGAATATACGTACTATACGGGAAAATAAAAAGGAAAGGAAACAAAGCTGAGGACGACGTCAAGAAAAAATAAAGAAAATATGAATTATCTTGCAACCAGAAGAATAAAATTAAATAATTCAAAAGCATTTCGAAATTCATTATTCAGAACTGATTGACACCGTTAATGTTGCTTTATGCAGTGTAAATAAAATTAGGTTAAACTCACAGGGTGACCACTAATTTTACTAATAATTGGGAATGGAAAAGACCTAAAACTGTTATACAAAACCTGACAAATGAAATTTTAAAAATTAATATTGACAGTTCTACGTACGACAGAAAATAATGAAAGCATAATTTTAAACACTTTTCTCCCTTTAAGTTTAGCGAGTCAATTATTTATATATATGATTTTAAAGAGAGATGGATTTATTTGCAGAGCTGTTTTAATTTTATCTATTTCTTGTGTACTGTGGAAAAACTCTTCTAGAACTGGGCATAATATTAGTAATAATTGTTTGCCAAAAGATTTCGTAATTCGTCTTCCTCATTTACTCTAAATTTTGTATTTGTACCTTCAAGTAAGAATGGTTACAAATCAATTATTACATTGACGATTGAAATTATCAACTGATCCGACATTTTTAATAAAATATCCGGCATTTTCTTTGCTTTTGGACAAATGACAAATCACTCTAATTTTTATTCTAAATGTTCTATTTCACAAGTAGTATTACTAATTCAGTATACTGTCAGCCATGATTCTTTTCAAAATTGAGCCAATACTAATTTTTGTAAGAAAAACGGTGGAATGTGATTCATTTCTAAGAGCAAATAGAATTTGGTTTAAAAACTTGTACAACCACAGAGAGTAAATTAAACTTTTTAATTTTTATCGAGTTATATTTTTACTACTATTATTTTTTTATTCGTTTTAAAACAATTCATTACTGCGGATAATAGCAGAACAATATTTTTCACGACTGAAACACTAGAATTATTACATTAATAATTTTATATGATAATGTCACGTATTTCATTAAGGAAAATTTATGATTGATTGTAAAATCGTACGAAAATTTTGTAACTATTTGACTGAGTTGTTGCATCTGCATGCGAAGTTTGTCTAACTTTGTGAGTAAGGAATGCACTGTCATCGATCTAAAACAGAACTCTTAAAAACGTCCTTCAGAGTGCGCTCGACGGCAAAAAACTTTATCAGCCAGTACTCTCTTTCATTACACTTGACCCGTAAACTTCAGGCACATGTCGATAAATTTCGGCGCTCATTAGCATATTCGCACTACTTAGCGAGATCACGACATGAACTTCGCAGCTGGCGAGATTATCAAATCTTTCACTCACCATCACTCAATTAGTATCACGCAATAATGAGTCAAATGTGGTTATGTATTATAACATATAAGAAAACATTATATCATTGGAAATCGTAAAACGTTAATAAGAATTATCTTTTATACATATCAAGGTTCTGCAAGTGGCTACAATGTAATATATCTCTAGTATTAAAGGTGCATACTATCTGGGCAGTGTTAATATTACTACTTTATGAGATGTGACTATATGCTTTATACATATTTTTCATGTAATAACATTAGCTATTATTCGAATGCTTATTCAGGTAGGAAATTATATGGATTTAATAAAAAAATTAAAGTTTAATATATTGAGAAATTAAAACAATTCAATTAAACTCTACACATTGAATGTTGTAAGTTAACTTACTTGGAATGAAATGGACTTACGTAGTTTATTGACAATATAATTTTTACTCTGGAAAGTGTATCAATACTTTCAATATGTGTCAATACATAAAATTTCGGTAATAATTTTGTTCTAAAATCAATTCAGTAGATAGAAGTCATTTTAGGTTTTATAAATATGTCTGACATTAATCTCACCAATTTAGTCTAAGGGAATTTTTAAAATGTTTACTGTGTTTTTTTCTGTTTCTTCTTGAAAAGACAATTAAGATGTTCTGGCATATCCATATTTATCGCGAGTATGTTAAGTTTCGCGTGGCATTTGTTTCGATCAGTATTTTCTAACAATGGCTGTGTGGTTTCTTTTGTAGCGTATGAACTCTGGTTCAAGCAAGTGATTTTTGAGCTCGACGCCGTACGCGACATGTTCAACACTGAGGTGAGTTGATGAGCGGGTGAGCGGGCGAGGAAATGGGAGCCACGAGATGTTGTTGGTTAGAATGCTGAAGGGACTAGGGGAAGGGGTGTGGAGATTTAGAGAGTCTGAAATATCCAGTGACACGTCGTTCTCATCTATAAATCACCACTAACCGGAAAAATAGCTGTTTCGATTCCAAGGAAATTTCAGGTAGGCGTACGAATTAAAGTGCGAGTTTCGGTTTCGTTCCGAGAGGTCTTCGAGGGCTCTAGACGTTGGCACGGAGAGGTTTTTGCAAGTAGGATGAATTTTATTTTTCTGTAAGCACATTGTTATGGTTAAAATGGATTATATCACCTTTACACATTAAGAAGTAATTCCAAAATCTCCAGTCTTGTTTAAACACGTACATATTCAAGGCAACCTAGGAAATTGAAAAGGGAAAATTATTTTTGATTCGGTGTTAAATTTGGTATAAGATTTTTTGGTCAATATTTGGAAACATTTCAGGCTTTGGCCTTTTATAAGGGTCAGTAAATACATGAATAACATAAAAACAAGAAGCTGTTATAATTCTTCCCTATTTTTACCAGTTAATTGTTTAATATTATTGAAATAATAAAATACATTGACCCCACGCGAAAATAATGAAAATGCAAAAGGTTGCTTTTGGGATGAATACATTTAAATGACCGTTTACGTCTGGAAAGTCTGGATTTTGTTTGGTAGAATAAATGTTAATTAATTTTATAATATGTAATTAATGAATGTGCAACTCTACATTTCAAAAGTACGATTTTTTGTATAGAGTTGAGTCTTGAAATTAATATTTTTTTGAGAGAAACATTTTGAACTTTCATGGTTTGGGAGCGTGCCATGTATTAGAAGTTAATTTTTGCACGTAGATGAGTCCGATGTATCGATATAGTTTGACTCCGCAAAATTCTAAGAAAAACTATAGATATATAATAAGTGGTTAAAAAATGACTGGAATGTGTGTGTTCCGACGCCAAATCATTAAATATTAATTGCTAAAGCACAATGCATAGTACATTTTAAACAATCAAGTTCAAATAAAAAAACAATGCAATCAGCATAAAGATAAAAATTACGAAATTTCTCTCTGCCATTTGTCTTTAAAACTATTTTCACGGTGTGAGTTCCCTGTCGTGTTCCGTGTTAATAATAAAATGTGCAAATGAAAGGGCGTTATTGAAGTGTAAATCGCTGGTTTATCATGTTTAATTGGAACCTCTGTTTCTTACTTTTGTAACATGGTCCTTACAAATGCTCGAAATAATGTTTATTGGAAATATAAAGAATACACTTTTAATGTTTCCAGAGATGTCTCTTATTTCTGACGCTACATTCATTTCTCTAAAATGGGTAATAGGTTAGCCTCATCACGAAGAGAAGTTAATTCAGTTGCAGCTCATATCAGAATATTATCAAAGCACGGTTAATTATTTTTATTCTAATAATTCTGAATAATTTTTTATTAATTAAATTATTAAAAAAAAACTAAGATCTCTTGAATTCAAACTATAAATGAGACTTAAGCATAGCACATATTGAACCAATGACCGAGAGAAGTGGTACAGGGCTTAGCGAGCTGACTTCACATTCGGAAGACCCGGGTTCAATTCCCGTGCCGGCCATCCTGACAGGGATTTTCGTGATTTCCCTCGCTCATCCAGGCGAATGTTTGGATGGTTCTAAGGCCACGACCGCGAAACCGGCCCGAATTCGTTAACTACGTGAAGTCTCGGAGGTGAAGGGAATTTGAGACATCGCTCCTGGTTGGGTAAACGGCTAGGAACCCTGGGATGTAACGGCGCCGAGGCCAATTGCCTTTTACAGGGATAGTGTAGTGGCTAAATATGACTACAAATTGAATCAATCTGTAGAACGCCGGCGTGAGTGTGGCTTGAGAACAGTGTGCGCTGGTGTTGTGTGCAGGACCTGGTGCTGGACGAGACGCGGTCGCTGGAGATGTTGCGCCGTATGAACCGGATTGTCCTCATCCTCAAGGTGAGTGCCATTGACAATGATACATTTTACACTGAACAGGGCTCCGTCCATCATGACAGCGAACACTAAATGCTTCCCGCTCGGAAGTAAGATGGCAATGCGTTCTGGGTAGACGACGCTTAGCAAGGAGAACAGCGGTCGCATTGGTTAGTGTGAAGATCAGGAGCCAGGAGCGCTTTAAACAACTTAATGTATTTTTAGTTTGTCCTGCAACACAGCGTGATACAAGTTAGGATTTTATCTGCACAGTTACTAAATTTCAGACAAATTGTAAATATATGGTTGCATGAACAGATGTAGCAGACGAGATTTGTGCCTAGGTCTAATTTGTAAATAAATCAAAATAATTTTTTTCGTTCACATAAACGACTTTCATGTCACCGCAGAAATTATTAATACCATTTTAAATGTAGTAATGCATCCATATCTCTTCTTGAATAGCTTGGCATACTTAAATGTAATTTTAATTTTGAAATTCTTCTTTCTCATACGTCACATACAATTTTTACTGTTTTTTGACAAAATAAATCTAAATCTGAAATACGTAAACTAACATAAAAGCAATAATAACACAGATAAAAATAATGACGTTAAAGTATAATTTGTTCTCTTCTATAATTTGATTGGATAACCTACATGGCTGTTCTCGATTTCTACTATCCTCTCTTCGTAACAGGAAATTTCCATCTTAGCGTTCTGATAATGCAGAATCCAGTGAATGACTTGGCGTGTTCTTGGGGGCTTGGCCAAGCGGTAGAAGTTGCCGCGTGATGCATAACTGGAGGTCAACGAGAGGGTTTTTTGATATGGAGAATGACAAATACAGTGAACTAGAACTAGCCAGTTTATAAAAGTCCATACGCTTGTTTCAAATCGATTGCTGGTAATGCAGATACTAATAATATTTCACGTTATTAGCTCAGACCAGATATTTAAAAACCTGCCAAACAAGTATTTCTACGTTTTGCTAAAACAATTGTATTTCTGATCTAGTATTTCAGTCATTTTGTAAATGTTTCTAATATAAAATCGTAAAATATATGTTTCACTTTATTAATAGTTTCCTTTCACAAGAAAATTGCAATTCAAAAACTGAAAGACATAGCAATTTTTTTTCAATTTTCGTAATTTGAAAATGCTGTAACGTTGCACATTGCCGTTTGCTGCTGATCGACCGCATTTCTGTGTCATCTGAAATGTTTTTATGGACAAAAGATACGCAACTGTTACATTAAGAATTTCTTCATTTCCTGATCATATTTTGTGATGACCTCGAGAATGGCATTACAAAATTATGATTACGAGTAAACGAACAACGAAGTACAGTCATAGGATAAAGTTCAAACAAAACTATCGATGTAATGCGTTTTATTCTTTTGACTCTATGAGGTGAAAAAAATAACTGTTTTTCAATATATAACAGTATTTCGAATAATATAAATAATAACTCGTTGCGAATGACTGTTGGGAATCGATTTGAATAGTTTCATTTGATTTCAAATTTTGCAGGCCTATCTTTTAGATGAAGCAGAACGTTTCATTAATACGGCATACAAATACAATATTTTGTAAGATTCCTATGCAATGCCGAGATACAATGGCTTGAGTAAGTCAAGTAATTGAGAAAAAACATTCCTCAATCACGTGATTTCGCAGCCAGTGTTTTCGATAAGCATCCCTAAGACATCCGTTTCCCTCTTTCCTTGCCGTAGATCTTCTCTGAATGTATGCAGTATTCTAAAGCACTTTGCATTGCTACGTTTAATGGTGAAATGAATACTTACCATTCTCACCATTTCTAATAGTCTTATAATATTTTTCTTATTTTTGGTATAATCAAACACATCAGTAAACGTTTCTTTTAAAAATTATTTAAGGTCGCTTTTCAACTACTAAGGTCAATGACCAATGTAAGTAATATTGGGGATAACGGTATACGGACACTCACAAATATCCATGTCCCAAGCGGGATTCGAACCCGTAACCCTTCAGGCACGAGGCAACTATAATAACATATCCGCTTCTTTGCCATCGTTTTAACCCCCCTTCAACCTTAACGGCCTCGGCTATCCAGACTGGGTGTTAGTATACGGTCAATTTTGTTTAGAATATTTAAGTATGAACAGGAGTATTTGTTCTCATAATACTTGCAAATTTAAAATACGACATTATTCTTTAATTCGACCTCTTCTGATTCAATACACGTCGGATTTACCGAGTCGCCTGAGTACGTTACGAGCCGATTAACATCCTATCTTCTCCTTCTCGTAGATTGGCGATGACCTCGACGGCGCCGTATCTTAGCCTCGTGTATACGAGTGACTTCCCTCTCTACCAGCCCCTGCCCCCCCCGCCCCCTTCAACCTTAACGGGCTCAGCTATCCAAACTGGGTATTAGTACACGGTGAAATCAATTTATCAATTTTGCTTAGAATATTTAAGTATGAACAGGAGTATTTGTTCTCATAATACTTTCAAATTTAAAATACGACATTATTCTTTAATACGACCTCTTCTGATTCAACACACGTCGGATTTACCGAGTCGCCTGAGTACGTTACGAGCCGATTAACATCCTATCTTCTCCTTCTCGTAGATTGGCGATGACCTCGACGGCGTCGTATCTTAGCCTCGTGTATACGAGTGACTTCCCTCTCTACCAGCCCCGCCCCGCTCTTGCAAATGCGCGCCCGCCTTCCATGACCTTCGACCCCGGACGCCCATCAGCGCCGCCGAATATCACCCACCACGGATCAACTCCCGCCTCGCCTTTCGCACTGGCGAGCCCCTGTGAGGGAAGCGGGGACTATCGCGCGCGCCGGACGTCTTGTCAAGAGATGGGGAGCGGGATAGACTGCCTGTGTAGTCTTTGTAATTATTGTATGTATTTGGCGTTTATGGGTGGAGATTACGACTTCTGCCGACAAGCTAACGGTGTCCCGCCGTGCCTGGGACTAGTTAAATTCCCACGCTTGGGAGTAAGAGCGACGTGTATTAATTAGCATGAAATAAGGCATTATTTCAATTCAATTAATTCAATGTGTCGAACATGACGTGTTCCCTTCACCGTAACTAGCAGGATCCGCCTGCCTGCGCTTTGCTTCGTCATACAGAAACTGGGAAGATTTTAAAGGAAAGCTACAGCACTATTTTTGCCTGGACCGGAAATCGAACCCGGGACCACATCACGTGAAGCTAGTAGGCTGCCCATGAGCCATCATAGATGCTCATTAATGAATATTCTTCTTTATTTATTTTATTTATTTGAATTAACATTACTTTTATTAACTTAAGTAGGGGCGAATACTCATACAAAAAAAAATGTGTGAAACAAATAATGGATACAGGAAAATTGTAAACGGGAAATTAGGAAAGATTTGTAAACAGGACCATTGTAATCGGAACAATTTACATGCAGTAGTGATAGTGACTCTTCCCATGAGCACTTTCAAGTTATACTTTCGAGAGTTCTCTAGAGCGCAAACGTAGAGTGCAATGATGTATAATGATATGTAGGGATGTATCGCAGGTTAAATAAGTCCATCTAAGGTACAGACAAAGTGCGGTGTATATTCTTACCTATAATGTATAAATAACTGCGTCTAGAAGGGACACAGAGTGTAGTGAAGTAAAGAGAGGAAACAAATAAAGATGGACACGTTTAATCTATTTTTTATATTAGTCTATTTGTGTTTTTATTCTATTAATTAATTTATTTTTGTTTATTAGTATTATATATGTCTTTTAAATTTGTATGTATTGTTTCTTTTATTTTTTATATTTATACGTGTTTTGCTTAACTATACCACAGAACATACACACATTTGAAGAAATAATAATAGCAATACTTATTATTATTCCTTTAAAAGCCCTCACTGCGTATGTTATTGAGAGTCATGAGATGATTCAGAATGTAGATAAGAGTGATGAAGTGAATGTGTATGGATAAATGGAGGAGAAGAGGTTGGAGCAACAGGACAACTCTGATAAAATCACAATAAATTCCACTTAGATTAGTCAGTGGCGCGGCCCGAGACCCAGTGTTGGAAGGTATAAGTACTTACCTTTAGGCTGAAATCCCCTGGTGGAACATTGTTAAGCTTGCTTTTTACACGATACAAATTCAATGCAATTTTGGATAAGATATGGAAACAACGTTCTATATGTTGTTTACAATACACAATTTCTGGATGAAGAAATGAAGCCAGTGTATACGTACTATATGAAATTTGTACGAAAATGTTTACTCTGAGTCTTGTGTGTAGCGTTAGTAGTATTGTGATGAAGACGGACGATGCATTTTGCTATAGAACGACGATATACATAGGTCCATGGGTTTTGAGATGTTTGAATTGTATAGTAGTTTGTCGTGATGTAGATGAGTGATTTGCGATTATTAATAAGTTTTCTTATTGAATATTCACATGCGTTAGCCTGTGAGGCTTTTAGCAGAAGGTTAAGAAATACAAAATTTATTTGAAAGTTGAAGGAAAAAACAAAATGTATCTAAATCATCATAGGAAAAATAAATTAAATTGATTTGGTATAGGTGAGCTTTATTGTTAATCACCCAGTTGGGGCAACAGAGACTTGAGTAGCAAAACAAAACCGCCAGTAACCTATTAAAAAATCCGCCAAAGGAGCACGTAATGTTGGCGTCAAAAGTGATTCCAACTTTAGATTCACAGTCTTGTGTAGTCTACAAACAGCTTTGTTTTAACTTTTGTTATGTGTTTGATGGCACACTTCAAGAACACAAGTGGTTTGTTCTCTAACTTTTGTTATGTGTTTGATGGCACACTTCAAGAACACAAGTGGTTTGTTCTCTAGTTACTAATCTGACAAATGTAATAAATGAGCTCAATCTTCATACAAGATACGCTGAAGAAATTTTGTTTGAGGTGCACAGAAGAAATGAAAGAAACATGAATTAATTTGTCATTTATTTATTCAAATAATTGATTTAAAAATTAAAAAGGAACAGTTAATACGAAGTGACA